ATCTATCTATCTATCTATCTATCTATCTATCTATCTATCTATCTATCATCTATCTATCTATTATTTATCCACCCATCCATCCATCCATCCATCCATCCCTCCATCCAGGCAAGCAGTCTACCATCCTGCTGCATCCCCAGTCTTAGATTCCTATTATTGTCTGATTTGTGAAGTTATAGCTTTTGTCTCATTGTTGCGGACTGTTAGGAGGTTTCCTGGCAGGGTACCCCAATTCCTGAATTGACCAAGTCAGAGGAGGTGAAAGCTTGTAGTTCCTGGAACATTCTTTTGGAAACTCATAGCAACCGCCCTTTTTGAACAGCAGAGAAAAACTGAGTGGCCCAAGGAGCTGCCGTGACCCTACAGTGTGACAATGATGTGCCCGGTTTCCAGGGATTTTGCTCTTTTAGGACTTGCCTTAAACTTAGGGCTTTGGAAACACACACACACACACACACACACACACACACTAATAAAAAAAACAAGGCCATATGAAAGAGAGTAAGGAGCTGAATAATGGAGACTTTGGAGAGAGGAAAAAGAAGGGGGAAATGATGTGATTGTTTTCTAATCTCAAAAAATAAAGGAAAGAATGAGAAAGAACAAACACTGTACATGATTTCCAAAGCCTCTGAAATCATGGCCCAGTCACTGTCTGAGCCTAGGACAGTGGCTATTTTCTCTGAGTTCTGGCTTTTCCATCCATGACATACTTTTGGTTCACACTGCTACGTGACAGACCACAGTGTCATGCAGAGCCCTCCCTTCCACAAGATGTGGGAAGACGGTACCTCGCTTCCTGGTGCAGTCCAGGGTTCTCTAGCCTCCTAGGTAGTACTAGCAGCACTTGGGGAGCTGCCCCATGGGCCAGGGAAGGCTACCAGCTGGCCCGAGACTTTATGCAGAAGTAGAGCACGGGGCTGCAGACTGGATGCTCTGGTCACCCCTCCACGCACACCGGGCTCACTCCTGTCCTTCTTTCTCTCAATGTCACACGAAGTGAAGTCGCTGCCCGGGATCCCTCCAAGTTCTGCCCCAGCCATTGCCACCTTCAGCCAAGCCCCAAGCCAGCCTCAGGCATCACAGACCCTGACGCCACTGACCCTACAAACTGCCCCCCAGGTAAGGGCCACATCCGGGAGCCAGACAGAGGGCAGTGGGGAGGAGCAAGCATGGGGTGGCCGTGGGGTTGGAAACGGCATGAGGCAGGGCAGGAAGGAAGCTGTGGCTTGAGGGAGGAAATCTCTCACTAGGTATCCCCGGGCTCCCCTGCCCCAGATCAGGGAAGAGGATGTGCATGTTGCTGGACAGCTTCCCTGGGTCCCAGAGAGTGTTAGGGTTAACTCTTTCCTGGGTGAATTTGTGCTTATCTACTAATGAAATGAGTGAGCGCCCATGTCAGCCCCTTCTGCAGAGGAAGAGTTAATGGACTGTCTAGTCTTCAGTTAAGTTATAACACCGCCCAACCAATGAAGGGGCCTGTGGAATCCCGGAGGCCAGTGGAGCCTGAGTGACCTCTGCTCGTGCAAGGTTTCCGGCCAGGATGCCCTCCACTAGAGCCTCTTGGAGGCCTTTGTGGGCCCTTGACCACTTGGGAGCGGCTTTGGTCCCCATTCCCCGGTGCACTGAATGGCCAGCTCTGAAAACACACATATGAGTGACATTGCACCAACCGAGCAGGTTGTACTTAGGGCTTTGGAAACACACACACACACACACACACACACACACACACACACTAATAAAAAAAACAAGGCCATATGAAAGAGAGTAAGGAGCTGAATAATGGAGACTTTGGAGAGAGGAAAAAGAAGGGGGAAATGATGTGATTGTTTTCTAATCTCAAAGAATAAAGGAAAGAATGAGAAAGAACAAACACTGTACATGCAAACGCTCCCCAGGGAAGGTCTAAGAGGCAGCACACTGCGGGCTGGGCGGAGGAGGTCCGTGCACCCTGACCCCTGGGCGGCTCTCTGCAGGCAGGATAGTCTGGTCCAGACACCGTGGGTTAGGCTTCAGCTGGGGCTCTTCTTGCTTTCCTCCGGCCTTTGTCCCACTGCCCTCAGAATGCTTGCTTGTGCTCAGCTGGGTCCAGGAGGCCCCTCGTTTGCACTGTGGATGTTGATTTTATTTTTTTAATTTTTTCTTTTCTTTTTGAAATCTTGTTTGCTTTTGCAGGTCTTGACTCAGGAAAACTTAGCCACAGTTCTGACAGGAGTTGTGGTTCCGGCAGGGGCGGTTACTCAACCTCTTCTTATCCCCATCAGTATTGCAGGTCAGGTGTCTGGGCAGCAGGGGCTGGCCGTGTGGACAATCCCTACAGCAGCCGTGGCTGCCCTCCCTGGACTGGCCGCTGCTTCTCCTACCGCGGCAGTCTTCAAGCCACCGTTAGCTGGGCTCCAAGGTAACGGCAACTCTCCCCAGGACTGCACCGGGCCCCTACCACCCTACACTGCCGCCCCTGCACGTGTGCTTACCATGTTGGACTCAGAGCCTGCAGTCCACCTGGGGTAACAACCCTGGATTCTGGATCCAGTGTCATAGGCACCCAGCCACAGAGCCGCTGCACCGCCTCGGGACTCTAGGCCAGGACACCAGGCTGGCCAGCAGGCCTGTCTTCCTGCAACCAGCTGCTTGAGACTGCCCCTCCCCCCACCAGCATCCACCCCATGACCAGCAAGATGGACTGCAAGAAAAGTCAACATCTGGTTCTCGAACCTACATGTCTGCTGACCCAAGGGAGGGGGGATGAGAGATGTTGGCATGTGTCAGCCCTTCAAGAATCAAGGGAATTGCAGCTGCCCCACGCCCAGTGCCCCCAGTGCCCTGTCAGTTTCATACCAGATCCCTTGGGACTGGAACCATGCCGGGTCACGGCTGGGCCCTTGAGCGCCTCTGTCTCTGCCTTGCTCCATAGCAGCTGCCGTGCTGAACACCGCTCTCCCAACACCTGTACAAGCTGCCCCACCAGTCCAGGCCTCCTCGCCCACCCAGCCCCGGCCACCAGCTCAGCCCCAAACGCTGTTCCAGACCCAGCCGCTGCTACAGACCACGCCTGCCATACTCCCACAGCCCACTGCTGCCGCCGTCGCCGCCCCCACCCCGAAGCCAGTGGACACCACCCCGCAGATCACCGTCCAGCCTGCGGGCTTCGCGTTTAGCCCAGGGATCGTAAGCTGCTGCCCTTACCCAGGGCTCCGAGGGATGGACCAAAGCTTGGGCCAAGGGTGGAACTTCCCCCACAGTGGAGGACCAGCCCCTTGAATACAGCCATTTCTGACGTGTCAGCAAAGATGGGCTCCTTGCACCTGTCAGCTTGTCCTACCCAGATCAAAGCAAGCAACGACTGGAGAAATGCTCCAGACGGAACTGCTGGACCAGCCTTGGGGGCGGGGCACACAGGGGCAGCTCAGCTTCATGCTGGCATCTCTCCGGTGTGGCTCTTGTTTGGGAGCAGAGAATCAGGCATGACTTGGGGGCACGTTTGTTCTTTTAGTCTGGTCTTCTGCCCTCTCAGACATAATTGGAAAAGGCAGGAGTCACTGTTCTGTGACTGTGCCCCTCCCCCGTTCCCTGATATCCGGTACTTGCCCCTCCAGCCTTGACTATTTAGCCAGTGGACACCCTCAGCCCTCTTTCCTCTCTCTGGTCTTTCTTGCCCCTTGGGCTCTGAGCAAGGCTCTTCCTCTACCCACAGATCAGTGCTGCCTCCCTCGGGGGACAGACCCAGATCCTGGGCTCCCTTGCCACGGCTCCAGTCATTACCAACGCCATTCCCAGCATGCCGGGGATCAGCAGTCAGATCCTCACCAATGCTCAGGGACAGGCAAGTGGTCAGAGCAGGGCTGAGGGGCGGCGGCTGTGGGGCGGCTGGCTAGGAAGGGCTGCTGCTGACAGCCGACGTGAGTCCAGGCAAGAGTGTAGTTGCCCCTCCACCCTGCCAGTGCTGGCTCTAGTGGGGGATTTTATCCACACAGTTCCCGCTTTGTGGTCAGGCCTCACGCTCCGTGCTTTCTCATGTGTTATCTCACTGAGTGCAAACCTCTCCGGGGATCTTTTGTTTTATGGGAGAGAAGGGTAAAGTTCAGAACTACTAAACCCCACAGCTCACATGTGGCAGACTAGCAGAGTTTCCAGTTCTCTGATATACAAAAAAACTTTCACCTGCCCCATCCCAGCTCTAGGGAAAGCAAAGAAAGGAAGCCCTTGGGTGTGAGTCCTGTACTCTGTCTGTTGAGGAAGCAGAGGACAGAATGCTCAAACAGCTTCTCAGAGTTAGTCTCTTTGCCCGCAACTCTGGGGATGTGAATTGTATGACATATTATGTGACCCTGTATGCCCCACACCCCTCAAATTTGGGGACCATGCCTTATTTTCTCCCAGGTTATTGGAGCACTTCCATGGGTAGTGAACTCGGCTAGTGTGGCCACACCAGCACCAGCACAGAGCCTACAGGTCCAAGCCGTGACTCCCCAACTCTTGCTGAATGCCCAGGGCCAAGTGATTGCAACCCTAGCCAGCAGCCCCCTGCCTCAACCTATGGCTGTCCGGAAGCCAAACACACCGGAGTCCCCTGCTAAGAGTGAGGTACCAGGGCTGGGGGTATGGATGGGCACAGGAAGACAATACTGTGTAGCATGGCTACTTCCTACTGAAACTTCTGGGAGAACAAGGCGCTTCTCAAAAATTAGGAGCCCCCTTCCCCAGCAGAAGGCTTTTATGAGTTCACACATACCCTGCCCAGGGAAACAGCTCCCATTCTCTGGCCGCTACATACATGTGTCTGTGCCCACAGAGGTCAGAGAGGACGGGAAATGACTGAGCAAAGCAGATTGGATGCTGATCATCCTTTGGGGAGCAAACTGCTAGAGAAGCCCTGGGTGGTGAATTCTGCACCACCACACACTGGGCATTTTGACTCTTCTTGGTTTCCATTCTAGAAGAGATTTTGAGTGCCCGTTATGTTCCAAATGCTAAGGATGCAAGAATGACTGGGATTGCTGTCTACCTAGGATGCCTTAGGTGTGAGGGAGGCATGTGTAAGGACTGCAGTACCCACCAGTGAGCCCTGACAGAATGGGGTCAGGACAGCTCCAGAGAGGAAGGATGAGTTGATGTAGCAGGTGCTGTCTCTGGGAACTGGACAAGCGTGGTAGCCAGAGTGCGGTTCTCTGGCTTGTGCACTGGGGTCTCCTGCAGGGATCTGCAGGACGGTTCCCAGATGACGCTCCCATTAGGTCCATGGTTGTCTAATACTATATGTTTACTTCCAAGAAACTTGTAAATGACCCCTTAGTCTCATCTGGAAGAGAGTGGCTATAAGAATTCCTACTTCTGCTGGGTGGTGGTGGCACACGCCTTTAACCCCAGCACTTGGGAGGCAGAGGCAGATGGATCCCTGAGTTTAAGGCCAACCTGGTGTACAGAGTGAGTTCTAGGGCAGCTGGGACTGCACAGAGAAACTCTGTCTCAAAATGACAGAAGGGAGAGAGAGGAAAAAAAACAAAAAAAGGCTTAAGTTTGGGAGCTGTAGAGATGGCTCAGCAGTTAAGAGCACTGGCTGTTCTCCCAGAGGACCCAGGTTCGATTCCAGCACCGACATGGAAGCTCACAACTGTCTGTAACTCCAGTTCCAGAGGACCTGCCATCCTCATATAGACATATATGCAGGCAAAACACCTGTGCACATAAAGAAAAAAAGATTTAAAAAAAGCAAAACAGAATTGCTACTTTTGCCGTGCATAGTGGTACACATGTGTAATCTCAGCCTGGGATATGTAGGGAGTTCAGCTTGGGTTATGAGATCCTGTTCTAAAACACAAAAACAAAAATAGAACAAACAAAAATCCTCTCCAGAAGTTTAGGAATATTACACCAAAGAACTGACACTCCGGTGCACGATTAGATTGTGATGGTGGTGCTGACCGTGTCCATGGCAGGACCTGCTGCCGGGCTTCCAGTGGCTGACAGATGTGCTTCTTAGACCCGCTCCAACTGACAGGTGTGCATCTTAGACCTGCCCCAACTGACAGGTGTGCATCTTAGACCCGCTCCAACTGACAGGTGTGCATCTTAAACCCGCCCCCAACTGACAGGTGTGCATCTTAGACCCGCCCCCAACTGACAGATGTGTATCTTAGACCCGCCCCCAACTGACAGGTGTGCATCTTAGACCCGCTCCAACTGACAGGTGTGCATCTTAAACCCGCCCCCAACTGACAGGTGTGCATTTAGACCCACCCCCAATTGACAGGTGTGCATCTTAGACCCGCCCCCAACTGACAGATGTGTATCTTAGACCCGCCCCCAACTGACAGGTGTGCATCTTAGACCGCCCCTAACTGACAGATGTGCATCTTAGACCCGCCCCTTTAAGTTTTTCCTTTTTTTATCCGTGCTGCTGGGGATTGAACCCAGGGTCTTGTTCATGCCAGGTACAACATTTTTGCGTGGTTCTCTGAGCCCTAGTAGTTCTAGGGAAAACTAAAGCCAGGTCCTGGGGATTAAGGGGTGGGTTTGAGAGCTAGCAGGAGACAGAATCCAAAGAACAGAAAATCCAGGAAAAAACTGCATTTCCCAAAAAGCTTATGGGTTTTTTTTATTTTGTTTTGGTTTTGGTTTTTTGATGCAGGGCATTATTGTCTAGCCCTAACCATCCTGGAACTTACTATGTAGCCCAGGCTGGCCTAGAATTTAGAGCCCCACCCGCCTCTGCCTCCCGAGTGCTGGGGCTAAAGGTGTGGCACCACACTGGTTGGTTTTGCTTTAAGTCATACTAATAATGCTATTTTCAGATATTTGTAGTTTGTCCTGACCATAAATAAGATACATAACTTTAATTAACATTACAACACTAAATAAAAATCAAAGCCAGGCAGTGGTGGCACACGTCTTTAATCCCAGCACTCGGGAGACTGGAGTTTGGATCCCCTGCACCCAGGTAAATGTTGGGTGAGTGTGGTAGGTAGTCCTGTGTAGCCCAGCACTCAGAAGGCAGAGGCAGAAGACTCCAGAATCAGGGTGCCAGCCACACTAGCCAGCTACATCAGTGAGTTCTGGGCTCAACTGAGTGAGACTGCTTTGGTGAACCCTTAATATCAGCCTCGGATCTCCACACTCATGTGGCACACATGTATACCTACATACATGCAGACGTGTACACATATAACACAGATTCGTGAGAGAAAAAATAAGAATTAAGACAGGTGTGGTGATACATACCAGTAATCCCAACATTTGGGAGGTGGAGGCAGGAGGATTATAAATTTGAGGTCAGTCTTAGACACGGAGAGAGAGCAAACCCATCTCTTGTAAATGTTATCAGGCAGCTTCTAGTTCTGCTTTTGGTGGGCATGCCTGGGTAGCTCAGAATTTCTTGTCCATTTCTCTCCTGGTGCTGGCTTGCCCAGGGATTGTGACCCCCTAAGTTAGGCACGGGTCATGGAGCTTGTGTCTCTTCTCATAGGTGCAGCCTATCCAGCCGACGCCGGCTGTGCCGCAGCCTGCCGTGGTCATCACCAGCCCGACCTCAGGAGTCAAGCCCTCTGCTTCAGCTCCCATTCCAATCACCTGCTCCGAGACCCCTACCGTCAGCCAGCTGGTCTCGAGTAAGTGACTGGAAGAAGAGGAATGTGGATCTGGGGTACCGGGAGCACCTCTAGTCCCAGCTGCTCTAAGGCTGGGACAGGAGGGGCCTTTGAGTGCAGGAGTTGAAGGCCAGCCTACTGAGGCCCTGTCTCATATCAGTCCATAAATTCCTGGTGTCTAAAAGGAAAGGGTAAAGACCCAAAGGAGAAAGCTGGTAACTCCCAATTTTCTTTTCCATTTATTTGTTTGTTTGAGATTAGGGGTGGGGTGTGAGTATCCACGGTGTGCATGTGGGTCCCACTCAGGTCTTTAGGCTGAGTGGCGAGTGTCTTTACCCACTGAGTCTCTTACCCTCTACCAGGAGGTGGCTTTCTTACTCCCTTTCCTGTTGGAGTGGCTGTGAACATGGTGGAAGTGGAGGCTGCTTAGCCGTCCATCTGGTCACGCTTTGCCACTGACTAGCTCAGTGTGGTCTCACCCAGTTCTGAGAAAGACAGATAGCCAGTAGTTGTGCCTGGGACCAGACTAGGGAGCGTGGGAGAGGGTGAGCAGTTAGACCTGGAAGAACTAAGAATAGACCACCTCAGTAGCTTGTTCTAGAGCCCTTTTCTGCAAGTCCTGCTTGTGGTGGGGGGGGAGTGGGGCGTGGAGATGAGGGTCTGTTGGTAGATGTCCCCACCCCCTTTCCTACTCCAGGCTAGACCCATGGCCCAGAGAAGCATGATGGTTGTCTTCATGTACTCATTCTGGTCCTTCCGTCTGTCCCAGAGCCACACACCCCGAGCCTAGATGAGGACGGGATCAACTTAGAAGAGATCCGGGAGTTTGCCAAGAATTTTAAGATCCGGCGGCTCTCCCTGGGTCTCACACAGACCCAGGTGGGCCAGGCTTTGACTGCAACAGAAGGTCCAGCCTACAGCCAATCCGCTATCTGCCGGTAAGTACGAGTATCCCAGGATAAAGCCAGGACCTGCTGCTCCGTACCATAGCCAGCTGTCATGGGAATCCGGGCATCCAGTCCCTTTCATGTTTCCTCTCACAATGACTCCTCCCAGATAAGGAAGACTGTCCTGTCGAGGGCATGGACACTTGGAGTAGCCAAAGACTGACCAGGCCTTCTAAAGTTTAGATTGACTCCAATCCTGAGTATTTAGATGTTCACGGGAGGGAGGCCACTGAAGACTCCTAGCAGGAGAGAGTTATGACTTAGAAACGTACTCTGTCCTGGCCCTGGGCTGTCAGTCCCCTGGTGTGCTCCTGCGGCCTGCCAGGTCAGCTCAGCTTGAAGGTGCAGCAGGCCTTGTTCTGAGGCTGCCGTGGGAGCAGTGAGAGGAGAGTGCCTTTCCTCATTTGGGTCTTTTGATGATGAGTCATTTGGGACTTCAGTCATTTGGGGGTGAAAGTTCTGGTTAAGGCAGAGCGTGCTGTCATTTACCTACCTACCAGAGGCTGTGGGCATCGCTCCTTCGTGAGGCCTGGGATATGGAAAGTCTGAGGAATCTGGGCTTTGAGGGGCCAGGAGGGTGGAGACACTGAGGAGGGAAGCCGCCCCTGCGAGTAATGTTCTTCCCTCATGGGACATATATGGAAGAGCAAGCCACACTATCTCTGCTCCTTCTCCAGGTTTGAGAAGTTAGACATCACACCCAAGAGTGCCCAGAAGCTGAAGCCGGTTCTGGAGAAGTGGCTGAATGAGGCGGAGCTCCGGAACCAGGAAGGCCAGCAGAATCTGATGGAGTTCGTGGGTGGTGAGCCCTCAAAGAAACGCAAGCGGCGCACCTCCTTCACGCCGCAGGCCATAGAGGCTCTCAATGCCTACTTTGAGAAGAACCCCCTGCCCACTGGCCAGGAGATCACCGAGATCGCTAAGGAGCTCAACTATGACCGTGAGGTGGTACGGGTCTGGTTTTGTAATCGACGCCAGACGCTCAAAAACACCAGCAAGCTGAACGTCTTTCAGATCCCTTAGGGCTTCCTCTCAGCCCTTGTTCCAGCACTTTCTACTGTCCCCTCAGCAACTGGCTGTCGTCATGGCGGCGACAGTACCGTGTGCAGCTGAGCTTGCCCTAGGTCATGAGACTCCACCTGTGCATGTGTGTCAATGCCTGCCTCTTCTGCCCAATATGTCACACCCTGGGGAGGCCCAAGGGGCTGCATGAGAGCCCTAGGCTCTGGGCTGGGCACATGGAAGGAGGGGATTTATGGCGTTCTCTCAAAAAGCACTTTGCCAACATGGTTTCTGAAGGGTATATTTTGGTTGGGAACCAGAAAGGCTCTGTCTTTGGGGCGGGGCTGTAGCAACTCTTGGGGGCCACTGTGCATTAGCCCTTGTTTTTGGTGGCGCTCTCCACCCCTTGCCCTGAGCTCCTCCGAGGTTGTGCCAGTGTGACAGCTCACCCAGTGGAACCTCAGCCTCACACTGCCCTCTTTTACTTTTTACACGGGCACATTGACCCCCGTAAAGGACCAAGGAGATGAAGTTCAGAAGTGTGACTCACTGTTTGCCTTGACCTCCAGCAGAAAGTTCTAGAGCTGTGGGGTCAGATGCTGGGAGGTTCCTCCTGGGGTCCTGGGGGTGGTGGGATTGCACTAATGCAGAACCCTTCCTCTGCAAACCAAGTGGGAAGGGAAGCAACAGCGAACTCTCCCAGCCTGGAGAGTCTTAGGTCTGTTGCAGGTCTGGAATTTAGTAAATAAGGCCATCCGCCCAGATTTTAATCTAATCGTCATCTGTGACTGTCTCCCAAGAAAAGCTCTCTAGGGAACTGCCAGCTTGGGAACATTTCCACTGCCCGCTGACGCAGGCAGCTGCAGGTGGCACGGATACCCTCTCTTATGCCCATACCCATCTCAGTCCAGCACTGAGGTCTCTTTGGAGGAACACATTGAGTGAGAAGCCAGAAAGCAAGGAGCCGGAGTGAGGAGGAGGGCAATGTCCAGAAAGATGATGGTCCAGGAAGATGTCTAGTTGAGGCTGGCGTACCTCTCGCTTTCTTTGTAACTTCAAGTCTTCGATGTTGAAGTTTTCACTTTGTCAGAATGCAGACCAAGTCTGTGTGTGGCAAGCCCCGTGCCGCTCTGCCATGCTCCTCTGAGCCAAGAGTGCCCAGGCCGGGATGGACTTTGCCTCTGTAGGTGATGGCACGCTGGGGGCTAGCATCATATTCAAGTCACTGGGTGAGCATCCAGCCACTGGGAAGCTGGCCAGTCCCTTGACTTCAATGTGTTGGCCGGAGAATGTAGTTCGGTGGGAGAGAACTTAGCATGTACAAGACTCCAGATTCCGTTTCTAGCACTGAGGGGGAAAACAATTAGTATTTGGTTTCAGGAAGTTAGGAAAGAGCTAAGATAATGGCTTGAATGACCCCAGAATTGCCACCAAGACTGTCCTGATCTACAAGGATAAGGACAGCCAGACACTACGTTTTGGTTTGGTTTGTTGTTTTGTTTTTTGAGATAGGATCTCACTTAGTCCAGAGTGACTTGAAACTTGTGGTTGAAAGTGACCTTGAACTCCTGATTGACCCTTCTGTGTCCACCTTCCAAGTGCTGGGATTACTCCGCGCCACGGTGCCACCACTCCTGGCTCTTCTCCACTCTCAGCCTTACAGAGCCTGCTGTCTAGACGGCCACCTTGCACCTCATGTGATCTGTCCTGAGGAAATGACAGTCAAAGACACGTTACCTTCTCTGCTGATCACAGTACAGGGACACTGAGGCCTAGTTCCCTCTTCTCTCTGTCCCCTTTCCTCGTGAATACTAGTCCCTCTTGGGTCCTGCAGTGCCAGTGTGGAGAACCAGCTGGTAGCTCTCCAGTGAGTGGAGACAGTAGTATGCTGAATTAACACACACACTCCACGGCATTCAAATCAACCGAACCTGCTGGGGTCTGCAGGGAATAAGGAGGCAGGTGCGCAGCTCTCCTGACTCTGCCTCCCAGGACAGAGTGTCCCTGGAGGGGGAAGGCCGTCTCTTCGACGACTGTGATTGTCAGCCTGCTTCCGTGTGATGGGAAGTCAGGAGGGTACTGCATGTGAGTTTTCAGTGTGGATGCTTACATCTTGGAGCTTATCAAATGACTCACTTGAGAAATTATATGCAGCTTTTCTTGCTCAAAACCTGCACTCAGGAGTGCTGGTCTTTTGTGGAGTGGCATGTTGTATGAAGTGGTCATGACGTGGCCATGCAGGAGGATACCATCTGTTCTGTGGCATTACAGGGAAAAATCATGAGCAACTGATCTAAATTAAACCTGGCCATGCTTTCTCACCCTGCCCTTAGTCTAAACTTGTCTTCCCAAGGCTGGGCCAGAGTAAACCATTTTCTCCTGTGTAGGAAAGATGCATTCGGAACTGTAGGAGAGCCCGGATGTTTACAGGCTGGACTTCCCAAATGCGAGGTGCAAGGTATGCATAAAGTATCCCCAAAGTATAGTTCACTTTGACCTATGAACTCTGCCTCTGCTCCCCAGTCTGAGCCACTAACCTACAAGGTAATTTTCGTTGTTCTTTGGGTTTGGGGAGCATTAGACTCTGAAAACAGAGTTAACAGTTTTATTTTGAAAGCACCCTCCTGGACTTCAGCCCACGCCCAGTGGCGCTCTTGCTCTGGATGACAGGAGAATGGGCATAAAGCGGTCAGCTCTGGTTGGCCAGTGTGAAGTGGCAGGAAACTAGCAGTGTCCGCGGCCTGCAGTCAGCTGTGCTCTTTGCTCTTGCGCTAACTATGGCGTTTTTTACCCAAGCAAAGTCCAGAGAAGAAACTGGTCACGTGAACTGTAAATGCACTTGAGTGTGGAATGAGAAAGCCTGATGTGTTTGTGTTCTTGAAAATCCAGTCACCTGCCTGTGCCCAGGATCCCTCTCTGCCTGCGAGGCCAGATTCTGTCACTGAAGTCCTGATGGTCTCCACTCGTGGGGCACTGCCTCTGGAAGCTGGGGAGAAGAACAGGGGAGAAGCACTTGGTGTAGTTGTGTGAATAAACACTATTTTTTCTTTTGTATTGCTCTGCCTATTTTGTTACATGTCAGATGTGAGGGAGCCAGTGCCAGAAGCCGAGGCTGCATCAGAGCTGCCTTTGGGGCTGACGGCTTGCCTAGTGAACCCGCAGAGGGACAGACAGGTCAGCACCCGGTTCCCACGTCACACGGTCCTGCTTGGGCCTTCCAAGCTTTGACTCTCCCTCCGGGGCTGGGGGTATGCAGGGCTAAGAGGGCACGCCCTTTTTCTCCTAAACTATCCTTCTGGTGCTTAGTGTCTCAGAATCTCCTGCCGAGGTTGCTTTTGCATCCTTCTTCGACCCACTGACAGGCTGTGCTGTTGGTGTGGGTGCTTTCGGTTCATATCCAGGCTGTAACAAAATCCCTCATCTTGAGCAGCTTTTTAATAAGTGAAAGTTCCTGTTTATAGTTTTGGAGCCTGGGGGGGGGTCTACCTGGACGGAGCCTGGTGTCCGTCTGGTGAAGGCCTCTACCTGGAAGGAGTCTGGTGTCTATCCGGTGAGGGCCTCTACCTGGAAGGAGCCTTGTGTCTAGCGAGGGCCTCTTTTTCATAGATGGATGCCTTTACATGGAATGTCTTGTGGTTGAGGGAAACATACTCCCTTGGGCATCTTTTTAAAGGGCTCTGTGCCCTCATGACTTATTCAACAGTAACAATAGCTTGATTTATACAGCTCTTTATTAAAATGTACTGTGTGCTAAGTGGCTCCTTCCCCAGCCTGCAAATGTTCAGGACAGGCCTCCCTCTGAGTTTAGAGTTAAAGAGTCAACTGCCAAGAGGGCTCCTCTTGCCCCGTCCACCTCCTAGAAGTGGTATTCATGCCATGTCCCTGGCTGCCCTCACTCATCTGGCATGGATGAGTCTGAGTGGAGTAACCTAAACTGGCAAGAATAAGTGAGCCCTTCACTCCACTTGGTTCTAGATCATTTCTACCTCCCTGCCCAAGCCCAAGGGGTTAAGGGATGTCAGAATCTGACCCAAGGCTTGGGATGAGAGGGATTTTGCAGTACCCTGAAACAGTGGGGGGCACCAGCACTTAAGTTAGATGCTAGCATAGATCTCAAATCCTACTATTTACTATTAACTAGCCACACGGCAGTGTGATCAGTAACGCGGCCAGGCACAAGGTAGGTGCTTGATAACCTTGATAATTGCCATATGGAACATAACGCTGCTTCCTCCCTCTGCCTTCAAGGAAGCAATGAAGCCTGAGACCCTGGCTTTGGGAGCACTGGCCCAAGGGTTCTACTTAGACTGTAAAACTTGGGGGTCAACGGATTCTGAACAGAGACCTACTGCACCAGGAGGTTCCTGGGAGCTGGGAGCACTGGCTCAGAGCAGTTGAGAGTGGTTTCTGGCAGTGGGCCCAGGAAGATTTTAGACTTCAGAGAAGGGGGGTAGATATGTTCACGACTGCAGCTTTATTCCCACACGTGAGAAGATCATTGCTCTGTGGATGGTTTTGAAGGGGATTTTTTTTTTTTTTTGGTATGCCCTAAAGAAGTGTTTGGTTTGGGGGCTGGAGAAGACCAAGACTGCTTGGAACTGCAGGGCAGTGGAAACTCCTGATTAGTTCTGTCTCAGCCACAAGGTCCTTAGAGATGCTCGCCAGGCCTGAAAGGCTGCTTCTGGGAGAGCTGGTGTGAGGGAAGGCTATGTATGTCAGTCCTTAGGGGTTAGATCTTTGCGTCCCTGGAGGAAAATGCCAGGGATTGACCTAAGAACTCAGAAATGTTGCCTGACCAGAATAATTGAGTGAGTCAGGAAACCTGGAGGATAGAAAGGCTCTGACCCGCGGCCTGAGTCCTCGGGAGTCTGAAGTGTCCACGAGACAGCTGCGAGGTGCTGTTTCTGTCAACAGCTAAGCTCCGCCCATCACCACGCGCTATGCATTCTTCTGAATTTGCATCGTTCATGGTCTCAGCTGATTCTCACGATACTGTTATGACAAAATAGTTGTCATCACATTCATTTCACAGCTGAGGTCAAGGTTCAGGGAAGATGAATGTATTCAAAGTCACTGGGACTCCGAGTGGCAGAATCGGGACTTGAACTTGGGTGGGCTGTCTCTAGAGCTTTGTTGTGCTCGACACCTCCTCACTCTGGACAGACGTTGACATCTTTCGTTTAAGAAGTGTCCACTTTCAAGCAGGGCGGTGGTGGTGGTGCACACCTTTAATCCCAGCACTTGGGAGGCAGAGGCAAACAGATCTCTGTGAGTTCGAGGCCATCCTGGTCTACAAGAGCTAGTTCCAGGACAGGCTCCAAAGCTACAGAGAAACCGTGTTTCGGAAAACCAAAAAAAAGTGCCCACTTTGAGGACCCCAGCTAGGGAAGCAAAGTCCTCACAGTACACCTTTTCTAGGGAAAGGTTTGAGACGGACTCATACTCACGTCTGGACTCACAGTTGTTCACAGCTTCACCACAAACTGGATCTGGGCCTTTTATTAGTTGTTTTTATTATGTTGAACATTTTATTATGTTGAATTAATGGGTTCAGAAATTTGGCCTGATGGTAACTATTGAGGAATGCCTAGGGTGTTGGGGGCCCTGGAATCCCAGTTTCCAATCCTGGAGCTCCAATTCCACTTTTAGCTGCATTGGGAACGGGGAGGGGAGTCTGTATGGCTGAGGCGGACTGCACTGTGTCTCAGACAGGCTGTGTTCCGTTGGAATGGGCCAGTGCTTAGGGTTCCTTTTGCCCTCTCTGTTTGCCTTAGGATTATGAATAGGAGTACCCTTGTGAAATCTTAGTTGTGCATTAAATCTTAAACTTGGGCTTAGACATTTCCAAGAAATACAAATCTATCTTTCTCTAAATATTTTCCAGAAGGTAAAGGTCCATGATGTCCCTGAATATGGCAGAACTCTCTCTTCTAAAGTGCTAACATTATTCCCGGTTTGTGAAGTCCGTTGTCTTCTGTGGATGAGAAAACATCATCCAATAAATCTTTTTTAAAATATTTATGTATTTTAAAAAGATTTTTCTTTTTAAATTTTTTTATTTTTTGAGATAGGTTTTTACTACGAAATCCTGACTGGATGTAGACCAGATTAGCCTCAAACTCAGAGATATACCTGCTTCTGTTTCCCAACTACTAGGATTCAGGAGGCAAAGATAGGCAGATCTCTGTGAGTTCGAGGCCAGCCTGGTCTACAAAGTGAGTTCTAGGACAGCTAGGGAGGGTACACAGAGAAACCCTGTTTTTAAAAGACTACTACTACTAATAATAGTAATAATAATAATAAAGGTGTGCATCACCATTTCTGGATTTTATTTTTAGTTATGTGTATACGTGTATCGTGTATCTGAGCATGGGTTCATGTGTATTTGTTCCTGGAAGCCAGAAGAGGGCTGACCCCCAGGAGGTGGAGATACAGGTGATCGTGAGCCACCTGACATGGGTGTGGGGAACCAAATTCAGGTCCTCGGCAAGAGCTGTACTTGGTGTTAACCACCGAAACATCTATCTGTTGTTTAGTTTATTATTTTTAAGGTGTGTTCGTGTGCATGTGTATATATACATGTGTGTGTGTGTGTGTGTGTGTGTGTATTCTTGCACATAAGTATAGGTCCTTTGGAGATCAGAAGAAGCTGTCAAGATTCGCAGGCCTCACAGTTACTGGTAGTTATGAACTGCCTTACATGGATGCTGGAGACTGAACTCAGGTCCTCAGAAAGAGGAACGAGTGTTCACCACCAAGCTAGCCCTTAAGCCCCCATTAAATAATTATTCATGAATGTAATCTCTCTCTCTCTCTCTCTCTCTCTCTCTCTCTCTCTCTTTCTCTCCCCCACTGCCTCTTTTCTTTTCTTTTCTCTTCTTTTCTTTTCTTTTCTTTTTTTTTTGACAGAGTCTTACTACGTAGTTCTGGCTCCTAGATGGGTTGGAACTCACTATAGACAAGTCTGGCCTCAAACTCACAGAGCTCTGCCTGCTTCTTCCTCTCGAGTACTGGGGATTACAGGTGTGCACCATCGATGGTGCCTGGCATTCATTAAATATTTTTAATATTTATGTATTTTATTTTATGTTCTTGAGTGTTTTGCCTGCATGCACCACATGTGTGCCTGGTGCCCCCAGAGATGAGAAAATAGCATTAGATCTCCTGGAACTGAAGTTCCAGATGGTTGTGGGCCACCATAAGATTGCTGGGAACCCAGTCTGGAAGAGAGGGCTCAGCGGTTAAGAGCACTGGCTGCCCTTGCAGAAGAACTGGATTGAGTTCCCAGCACCCACATGATGACTCCCAACCCCCTGTACCTCCAGTTCCAGGGATCTGATGCCATCTTCTGACCTTTGGGGGTACCAGGCATGGACATGGCACACAGACACATGCAGGCAAAACACTCCTGAATATGAAATTTATAAATATTTTTAAAAAATAAAATAAGACTTAGATGTATTTTTGTGTTTCAGTGTGTATGCTCATGCTGTGGTGTATATGTTGAGGCCGGCTTGTGGGAGCTGGTTCTCTCCTACACCCTGAGCTCCCAGGGAGAAATCAGCTTGGCGGACTTGGCAGCGAGCATCTGACCCACTGGTTCATCTCACTGGCTGTGCCGGTTAGATTTAATGGTAAAGTGGACACAGTCTAGATTCACCTGGGGAAGAGGCTCGGTTATCTACACCAGGTTGGCCTGAGGGCTACTGTGGGGGTCGTCTTGATTGTCTTACAGATGTGGGGAGAGCCATGTTAAATGTGGGCACAGCTGTGGTGTCAGCCAGACAAAAGGATGCGGAGCCGCCACCCGGCAAGCCTTGGCTCTCCCTGAAGGGCATCTACTCACTGGTGCTGCTGTCCAGACCCTTCTGCTGGCACTGGAACCAGCATGTTTAGGCTTCCAATGTTTCAGCTGAAGATCAGCAGAACCCAGGACTCCTTCAGGTGCCCAGTGCCGGGTTAGGACTGCTGAGGCGCCTTATAGACTGACAACTACTGGGTTCTTAGCCTCTTTTGTGTGAGGAAGCCACTGTAGGACTTCTCTAACATGCAAA